GTGCCTGCCTACTCTAGAGAAGCAGCAGCAACAACAGCAACGGCACAGCAGCAGGTCAGCAATTGTCGACCAGCAGCGGCCTCCAGTATGTGCGGCTCCCTGCTGATGCACGCCTTCCTCCTCCTGCAGTTCACAGGTGAGTGATGTTACTGCTGCAGCTGTTCTCCAGGCGGCCGAGGGTGGTGCTCCAGGGGGCCACTCCTGACCCCGCTCCAATATGGATGGTCATTGGCGATCGTTTTTGAACCTTTCCTCCAGGAATATTCTCCTACCTTGTTTATAGGAGGTAAATGAACATTTTGAGGGAAAATATGTGACGCGGCCAATACCCGCACTACGAGTGAGGACGTAAACACACTCACTCCGCCATCTTTCACCCGAGAAGAAAGGAGGTATTTTCTCTCTCTTAGCTAAAGGCCGGATATATCACTCATATGACCTAGACTGTGAATTGTGTTCCTTTTTGCCTTCCGTCTCCTCTTGCTAAGCTCCTCTTCAGAATTGGAAGGGGCACAGAAGGAAGGATAATAAGAGAATGGGAGAAAACATGGCGTGTTGTTTCACTGTCCACATAGGAGGCAGGGCGGGTTGGAGGAGCAGCGGGCCTGCCTAACTCACTGTTTGCTTTATCTTCCCCACCATAAATGTCTTAATACATCCCCCACAGCCCACACGCTTCTCGCCACAGTTTTAAACTTTACATTCGGGATCATTTTCTAGCGTCGTCAGCCCAGTGTGTTGCCGCCACCACAGGAAATTGTCCCGCAGTCGGTAGGTGTAGGTGGGTGGATGGGTGGGTGTAGGTGGGTGGGTGTACTAAATATTTCTGCTGTGTAAATTCAGCCGTCATACCTGCTGATGAAAAATGTTCTCCGTGTTACAGGAAATTACGCACTGCATAAATATACAGTGTAATCATATAAACTAAATTGAGCTTAAGTGTTGTGGTGAAATGCATAGCAGTGTATTACGGAAAATTACCTTCTGTGTTCATATACTTTACGATTTTCTTGCATTAATGTTGCCGCCCCCCACTGCTGTGTGAGGCAGGGCTGAGTTATGGGCTTGGTGTAAGTGCCCCCAGCTGCTCCAGTACTCACACTTCTCGAAAGACTAAATCCACGATACTTCTGTCATGGTGTGTTTATCAGCTCAGAGAGAGAGAGAGAGAGAGAGAGAGAGAGAGAGAGAGAGAGAGAGAGAGAGAGAGAGAGAGAGAGAGAGAGAGAGAGAGAGACCCTGATTTAAACATGAACTGAACTTGAATGCGTAGAAAACCTTTTTTTTCTTACCGGTACAAAAACGGATAAATCACCTTCTTGGAAATCAATTTAGGTGATTGATAGATAATTTAAAAAAAAAAAACCTTACGAAATACCTTCAAATTATACTATAAACTTTTATGTTCATATATAGGTAAAGACCGAGTGAGTGGGGCATGTCAACACTGGACCAAGTGAGTGGGAGCATGATAGTGTGCAATAAGTGTATCAGTAGATCAATTAAATACTACTACTACTACTACTACTACTTTAAAACAGAATTATTACTTTTATTTATTTCCTTTTATGAGTTACCTTGCAATACCGACCAAACATACATACACGCATACAACACCCTCTCTCTCTCTCTCTCTCTCTCTCTCTCTCTCTCTCTCTCTCTCTCACAGTACAAGGTGTATTGCTTCCATTTGCCGTATCTGAGTTAACACTAATGACTGTGTGTACCTGAGTGCCGAGTACTACTAAGATATGTATCAACTCCGTCCCTCGTGTGTGTGTGTGTGTGTGTGTGTGTGTGTGTGTGTGTGTGTGTGTGTGTGTGTGTGTGTTGTGTGTTGTGTGTGTGTGTGTGTGTGTGTGTTGTGTGTTTGTGTGTGTGTGTGTTGTGTTGTGTGTGTGTGTGTGTTGAGAGGGTGGATAATTTTCAGGTAATCTATAATTCAGTTAATAATTTCATTTATAATTTATCCAGGTTATGTACGTGTTAATAACAGGTATGAGGACGGTATAAAAGAGTAATGTCATGGTGGATTAGCAGCTTAACAGGTGCTAATGTTCTGTAAAACCCTCCATTTAACGGACATTAATCTAATGGGTATAGTTCGTTATATGGAGGTTTCATATATAATGAACCTTGATATAACAGACTATACTATCTTGTATACTCCGTTATAAGAAAGTTTCACATATAACGGACCTCGATATAAAATAAGAACATAAGAATTGAGGAAACTGCAGCGGGCCTATTGGCCCATACTGGGCAGTCCCATTTACACCCAACCCCAATGGCTCATATATCCATCCAACCTAAGGTTGAAGCTATCCAGCGTATTCGAGTTAATGATGATGTTTGGTAACTTGTTCCATTCATCCACTACTCTGTTTCCAAACCAGTGTTTACCTACCTCGCGCCTAAATCTAAATTTGTCTAATTTAAAACCATTGTTACGAGTTCGCTCCTGGTTGGATAGTTTGAGTACCTTTGTTATACTACATTTGTTTAACCCTGTCTTCCATTTATACACCTCGATCATATCACCCTTCACTCTACGTCTCTCGAGGGAGTGCAAATTAAGACTCTTTAACCCGTCTCTGTACTCAAGGTTCCTAATGCCCGGAATTAGTCTTGTCATTCTCCTCTGAATTCTTTCTCGGGATTCCATATCCATTCTGTAGTATGGTGCCCAGAACTGAACTGCGTAATCCAAGTGAGGTCTCACAAGCTCTAGATATAGTTTTAGGATGACCTCGCTAGTCTTGTAACTAACACTACACTCTCCCATATAATCCGTTAAGAGGAAATTTTACATATAACGGATTTCGATATAACGGACTACTCTCTCATATCGTTCGTTAAATAAAAGTCTCACTGTCATGGACCAGCTTACCGGGTCATAGTGAGCTAATGTACTGTGCTGTGTGTTATTATTACACACCCACTTGTCTATATTAATATTAGTGGTGCTCAAGGGAAGGTGAATGAAGGAGACTGACAGGAACGAAGATATATGGAAGTGAACGTACGATAGTGAAAAGAGTTGTATGAATAAATAGTGTAGGAGCCATAACTAAAATGTATTTATTCCGATGAGAGAGAGAGAGAGAGAGAGAGAGAGAGAGAGAGAGAGAGAGAGAGAGAGAGAGAATTGTATACAGACAGGCCGAGTCACTAACAAAGTATAAGTAACTAGTCAGTTTTCACCGTCGTTTAATAACCAGACGATGCCCAGAACTACAACAATGGTAAGGGAAAATGAGGAGAAGAGGGAAAAAAGGAGGGAAAGAGGAAAGAATGAGGAAAAGTCTTAAGTCATCAGTTGGTGGAAGGGAAGACGGTGGGAAGGGAGAAAAATGAGGAAAAGTCTTAAGTCATCAGTTGGTGGAAGGGAAGACGGTGGGAAGGGAGAAAAATGAGGAAAAGTCTTAAGTCATCAGTTGGTGGAAGGGAAGACGGTGGGAAGGGAGAAAAATGAGGAAAAGTCTTAAGTCATCAGTTGGTGGAAGGGAAGACGGTGGGAAGGGAGAAAAATGAGGAAAAGTCTTAAGTCATCAGTTGGTGGAAGGGAAAAAAGTTAAATATTCCAAGAGGAGTGAAGCAAGGTGACACCATCTCTCTCAAACTCTTCCCCAGCGGCGCCTGAGGAAGAAGTTTTAGTGTGAAAGATTTTACATACATACATACATATACACCCACACACACAAGCACCCCTCAGACATACATACATACATACATACATACATACATACATACATACACACACATACATACATACAAGCACCCCTCAGACATATATACATACATACATACATACATACATACATACATACATACATACACATACATACATACAAGCACCCCTTCGACACACACACACACACACACACACACACACACTAAACGAAACAAGCAAAAGAGCGGAATTCAACAGAGGCCAAAACTAGTATGCAAATTATTTATATTTACAGAAGAACTTTGTGAATTTAGAGGAAGTAGTGAACAGTTATACCTAAAGGCAATTTATTTTTTTGGTAAGAGCAATTTGTTTTTGTTTTTTGGATCAGAGAAATTAAAAAAATTAAATAAAAATAAATCGAGATATTACCAAAGTGCTCCCCTGCAAGATTGAACAATGCATTAAAAAATTTCTAAGTCAATTTGTCTAAAACGGAAGCATTTTGACCTGTGCGTGTAGCAGGTATTGACTCAGTAGTGTAAGACATGCCAACCCCAACGCCAAATAACAAAGGAACTCACGGAAGAATAGTGTGTTTTGGGGAGGAGAGTAAAAGGTAATGAATGAATAAGACTTCAACCAAAATATAAAAGTTGAAAAAAAGTAGAAAAAATATTGGTTTGGTACCTTGTCGTCTGGTCACAGTCTAAAGGGACACATGAACACGCTAGACAGACAGACAGACAGACACAGATGCAGTAGATAGATAGATAGATAGATAGATAGATAGATAGATAGATAGATAGACAGATAGATAGATAGATATAAAAAGTATAATTTGTGATCTACACCACAACAAGAATGGACAGGTGACATTAATTAAACAAAAGTTATCAACAGGTGTAATGATGTATCAACCAGGTGAGTGGCAGGATATCCCACCATGCCACACATATTACCATGATAGACGACACACCACACTTCACTCTACCAGGATATACAACCATGAGTGGCCCTAAGTTACCATGACAGGTATAAGTGACACTCATACGCCTGTCTCATAATACCTGGAGCCGAGTGGGGGGGGGGGTGTTAATAGCTTACCTGGGTGGTCACTCACAGGTGTAATTTACCTTAGTTGATTCTAACTCACTGTGAGGGAGTTACTGCGTTTGATTTAGGTACTCTGTGTTGGAGGTGATGGTGGTGGTGACGGTGTGTGTTGGAGGATATGGTAGTGATTGTGTGTGTTGGAGTAGGTGATGGTGGTGACGGTGTGTGTTGGAGTAGGTGATGGTGATGGTGTGTTGGAGTATGAGATGGTGGTGATGATGGGTTGGAGGATATGGTGGTGATGGTGTGTGTTGGAGTAGATGATGGTGGTGATGGTACTGTGGTGGAGTATGAGGTGGTGGTGATAAGTGATGGAATACAAAGCTTTACATTGAATACATGACTGA